GTGTCAAGTGAGGGTGAACGATACTTGAGCTTGACCACCTTTCAATTTTCTAGATATTGCAGGAGAAAATTAAGTATGGTAATCAGTTCAGTGAGATGCGTGTCCTCGGAGAACCTAAATTGAAGCGGCGATTTCTAAACACTGAAATAGACAAAAGCAAGGTGAGAATATGTTTGGCTCATCTCTATTTGTGGCATGTGATGTTGAAGAAATGGTTTAGAGACCTTATTTATAGATGATTTGGACCTACGAATTGTTATCCTACCACCAGGGCATGTTTCAGAAATCAATCTCTGAATTCACCCTTTTTTATGAAAATAAGGGGTTTTCAGATAGGCATATCCGAAATAACCCCTGTTGTTTTTTTAAATGAATGTTATTTCAGATATGCATATCTGAATTATGCAGAATCAGAACAATATAAACATGAAAAAAAATTAAACCGGTAAAAGTAAACAGAGGTAAAATGTTGAATAAATATGTTATATATGTATTGAATCGTATAGAATTTACATTGTGCACGACAATACATTGAAAAAATGGTTTGATTACATTCTAAAATGCACCAAATGAATTGTCACGCTTAATACCACTTAATGTTTAAAGACAATGTTTAAATAATAATGTGTAAATATGGATGTTTTTGGAGATGCATTTTTTAAGGATATTTTGGGGTTTCCAGAGGTTTACTTCACCCATATAAGAGTGTGTTAAGAGATTCTCTTCCTTATTTCAAAATACTCATATTTAGGGTTAGTCATGCACTAACGCATTAGGATTGAGTAGTGAGCTTGGATACTCAATATTGGATCATGAGGGCATATCTATTTGAGGCATATTTTATGGGACTTTTAGCCTTATTGCTCGTCAATGCCTTAAACATAAGGAATGTAAAAATGAGATGCTTAAGAATATTATTCTGGTTCACTAGCCCTTTGTTAGAATTTATACATAGAGCTCATACTTCACAGAAGTGAAGTTGAGTTGAGATTAAAGAAGATGATAAAAGAGATAAGGTTTTGATTCATTCATTAAGGGAACCCATGGTACAGTGCCAGCTATTCATACAAGAATACTAACAGAGCTGTTAGTTGTAAATCCTAATAAACTAACAGATGCAGTTATGTAACAAAAGCTAACATAAATGATATATTGCTACAGTGTTACAATATGACTAATATATAAGTAACTCTAACACCCCCCCCTCAAAGTGAAGTATGGAGAGCTTGACACACCACTAAGAGTTTTGCCCGCTGATCTTGAAATGCAGCAGTGCCAAGAGGCTTGGTTAATGTGTCAGCTAGCTGGGCTGCTGCAGGAACATGTTGAATTGACATCCTTTTTGCAACAACACGTTCTCTAATAAAGTGTATATCGAGCTCAATTTGTTTGGTGCGAGCATGTAACACTTGGTTATGTGAAACTAGAACTACACTGAGATTATCACATAGCAAAGTAGGAGTGTGAAAAGAGATGTGAAGTTCATAACGTAAAGATTCTAACCACAACAATTTAGAGGTTGAATATGCAAGGGCTCTATACTCTGCTTTAGTACTCGAGCGAGCCACTAAGGACTGCTTTTTAGAGCTCCAAGATACCAAGTTATGTCTAAAAAATAAAAAGGATCCAAAGGCGGAACATTGATCATCCGGGTCACTAGCCCAATCAGAGTCCCTATAGACTCTCAATGAGAACTTGGGTGCTGAAACTGGAGGGGATAATAGTAGACCATATTCGCTTGTGCCATTGAGATATCACAAGATTCTTCTAACTGCAGACCAATGTGTGTCAAGGGGATTAGCCATGAATTGGAAAGCTTTATTGATGCTAAAAGAAATGTCAGATCTTGTTAGTGTTACATACTGCAAGGCACCAATAATGGACCTGTATAACTGTGCATCATAGAAGGAATTTGAGCCATGTCTGCTCAATTTACACGTGCTTAACATTGGAGTAGGGACTCCATTTTCATTCACCATCTTGGCTTTGATTAACAGATCTCTAATGTATTTGGATTGAGTGAGCAGAAGGGGACCATTGCTGCAGAACTTAACCTCGATTCCTAGAAAATAACTAGGCCTGCCTAACTTTTTAAGAGCAAACTTGTTATGCAATTTGCTGATCAAGTCATGAACCAGAGTTGTTCTTGAACCAGCTATTAAAATATCATAAACATAAACAAGTGCATACATAGAGATACCTTTCTTACAGTAGATGAAGAGGGAAGTATCACATTTGGATGCCATGAAGCCAAAAAGAAGGAGAGCTTGGGTCAGTTTCTCATACCAAGCCCTAGGGGCCTACTTGAGGCCATAGAGAGCCTTATTGAGTTTGCATACTAAGGACTTATCTTTATTTTCAAAGCCAGGAGGTTGTTTCATATATACTTCATCATGGAGAATGCCATTCATAAAAACATTGTTAATGACAATTTATTGAATTTCCCACTTGTAGGTAATGGCTAAAGTTAAGATGACTCGGATGGTAGTTGGTTTGACAACAAGTGAGAAGGTTTTGTGTAATTAAAACTATGTTCCTAGTGGTACCCTTTAGAAACAAGTCTAGCTTTATGTTTAAGGATGCTACCGTCAGGATTGTGTTTAACTTTGAATACCCATCTACATCCTACTGCTTTCCTATTAGCTGGAAGAGATGTAAGGACCTAGGTGTTGTTAGTCTGGAGGGCATGAAAATCCTCTTTCATGGCATTAGACCATTTAGGAATATACATAGCTTTTTTAGTACTGGTAAGTTCAGGACTTGTATGAGCATGGTAAGCTTTTGGTTTGGAATTTCCTGTCTTAGCCCTTGTAAGCATGGGATGATTATTCTCAGGAAGGGGGCCAGGAGGTTTACTAGTGAGAATTGAAGGAGAATTTGAGGACTCATACTTAGGAATGCAAGATGATATAATTAGTTCATTTGGGTGAAAGGAAGGACTATAATGGTGTAACTCAAGAGAGATGTTGAGAGCCTCAGTAGAGTGCTCTAAAGAAGAGTCCTTAGAGAAAATGAGACTTGGGACATCATTGGTGTTGTTATTAGGATCACTGCTATTATTATTTCTATTACCCTCGGGGTATCTAGATGTGTCTCTATTAGAGTTGGAGGCATTATTCTCAGGACAACTAGACATTGCACTCTTAGAGTGAGAATTATTATCCCCAGGATTATAGGAGGTGTGGAGGTTGTTTAGGTAAATGTGAGGGAGATGCCACGTGTTTATGTGTAAATGTGACTTGTCACTATCAGTAATATTTGGCTCTATTATACTTGGAACAATAGGAGCAGCAGTGGATACCTGAGATAATGGAAAAGATGGTACAACATAAGGTGCAACTAGACCATAAATGCCAGTGTTATTACCAGATGTTTTATGTGAATGCTGGTTGGAAAATAACACAGAAAAAGGAAAATAATTTTCATTGAATTTGACATCTTTGGAGATAAATATTTTTCCCTCTTTACTAAGACACTTAAAACCTTTATGGTGAGAGGATATTCCTAGATAAATACATTCTTGGATCCTTAGTTGAAACTAGTGTTTATTAAAGGGTCTAAGGAGAGGGAAACATGAGCATCCAAAAAACTCTAGAGACTTATAGTTAGGGTGCTTGTTATAAAAATCATAATAGGGTGATGCGGATTTGTTCAAAGCAAGTGTAGGTAGTATATTAATCAAGTAAACAACAGTAGAAAAACTATGTTCCCAATAGTCTGTAGGCAAGGATGCATGAGAAATCAAGGTTAGACCCATCTCTACTATTTGCCTATGTTTTCTCTCCACAGAACCATTTTGATGGGATGTGTGAGGACATGTCATTCTATGTTGAATGCCTAGTTCTGTTAGGAATTTAGTGAAAGGGAGAAATTATCCACCAAAGTCAGATTGAACAACTTTTAGGGTTACATTAAACTGAGTTTTAACAAAAGTGTAAAAAAGTTTGAAAGCTTGTAAAGCTTTGGATTTGTTCTTGAGATAATAAAGCCATGTGTATCTATTGTGGCCATTTACAAAGGTTATGTAGTACTTAAAACCAGAACTAGAAGGGTCAGAGGATGTACCCCATAAATCTGTATATATCATGTCAAAGGGGTGATAGTAAGTTGTATTGGTAGATGGAGCATGTAACCTATGTGCCTTTCCAAATTGACAAGAGTTACAGAAATCAATGTGATTTTTATTAGAATTAACAATGTTACACAATTTCAGAACATGAGAAACAGAAGTAAAACTTGGATGGCCTAGCCTATAATTCAAAGTGTACTAGTATTACAAGCTGTAGTACAAGAACTAGGCTTATTAGCATAGAATCAGAAACAAAAATGCTAGGAATACCAGAAGAAAATCTTGTGACTGGTATGCAGATTTTAAGAGCTGATTATCTCCACGGATAGCTAAGGGAAGTAATACAGGCCACTAGCATCTAGAGCTCCTTCAACAAGTATTTTTTTAGAAGCCTAAGATTTGACATAGCACTTGTTAGGCAGAAATTCAAATACCACATTATTATCACTACAAAATTTAGACACAGACAAGAGATTCTTAGTGATAGCAGGTACATGTAACACATTGGTAAGAGTTAGCTTTTAATTAGGACTAAGCTTAGGGTCAAATTGTATGACTCCTACAGAGTAAATAGAAAAGGTTTATCCATTACCTACGAACACTTTATTAGAGACTACATACGGTTGTTTATTTTGTAACAAAGAAGCATAGGGAGTTAGATGGTGTGAAACACCTGAGTCTATAAACTAGGCTCGGGATTCCAATTCAGAGGATAAAGAATACTCTTGAGTGGTTGCCATCATTGCCATTGCTTGAGCACTTTTTGCAGAGTCCTGAGAGCTCTATTGTTTGTGAGAGTTGGTTGCAGAATTGGACTGAGATGCAAAACTTTCGTGAGGCATGGAGTTCTCATCAAACCTGTGCAGTGTGAAGAGACTGAGTGACCATATTTGCCATATAGTTGACATGTGGGACGATTATCAGAGGTGGATCATCCACGCCCACGACCATGATTAAACCTGATGCCACGACCACAATTGCCTGAGTAAGCTCCTATGGAGCTGATATCGTCATGAGTGAGCAATATTGGCAGTAATAGTTGATGCTGCAAGTTCTTGACGAAATTTGTCAAGTTGTGCCTCTTACACGTAGAGAAGGGCTTCAACATCGCATAATGTAGGTGGAACATGAAAACCGTACATTTGCATGGATCGAAGCTCAGGGAAGCGTGGAGGATCAGACACGAGAGAATGATACCATGATAGAATTCATATGTAGAGCTCATACTTCACTCTGTGAAGTTGAGTTGAGAGTAAAGAAGATGATAAAAGAGATAAGGTTTTTATTCATTCATTAAGGGAACCAATGATATAGTGCCAACTATTTATACAAGAATACTAACAGAGCTGCTAGTTGTAACTCCTATCAAACTAACAGATGCAGTTATGTAACAAAAGCTAACAAAAAGGATACATTGCTATAGTGTTACAATATGATTAATATACAAGTAACTTTAACACCCTTCAAGCATAAGGTAAAATAGACGAAGAGATTAAATTATTATTCAGATCTTGCAACCCTAAGCATGAGGTCTCAAAGGACGTGGTGGTTAAGCTTAGTTCTCCCAACATGCATGGATTTGTGGTCTTGTGTTTTATCCACATGAAGTGACCTATGAATGATCTCACGTAATTTACTTGCATTATTAAATTTTAAGAAAGTCAAAGGTTGTGTCTCACACTAAGGTTAATTTCACTTTATAAAACTACAATAGGACAACGAAGAGTGTGATTGCAAGTGCTCTATTTTCTACCATTGGCTAGTAGGCGTGGTAAAAATTGAATATCACATAACATTTCATCACAATAGTAAATTCCAATGGTAGTAAAAGGTGGAATGGTAATGGTTCTAATACCCAATGCCAACATTTTGGATGATATAAATATTTGACCATAGTTGTAATTCCAACCATAGTGATACAGAGTAATGCATAACAATTCACAATGGTTGTAGATTCTAACAGAGTGATATGTACATTTGAGTTTACTATAATTGTAGTGGTAGAAATATTGAGATTAAACTATTGGATTGACTTAAATAGTATAAATCAAATAAAAACCTCCATCGCGCTTTATTGTTTCCAAAGGAAATGAGAAAAGAGCGAATAAACTCAAAAAGAGAGGGAGAATCTAGGTACCGGGATTGGTTATGCAAAGGAAAGATATTAGCACCCTAAATATATATGGTACTCTGCAGGAACCTCTTTGAAAATCCGTGTATTTTAGCTATAAAAGATGTATACAAAAAAAGATGGCGGAGATGAGAAAAGAAGTATTATTTTACAATTTTGCACCCGCCGCGGTTCTGAACCTTTAGTGCCTACTTACCACCTTCTGTGCAATAAGGGATCAGGGTACTCGTAGTTCACCTCAAAAGTTTTAAAACACATGTGTGTTGGTTAATTTTAAGAGAAGAAACATCATCGTCATATCCGAGTGGAAAATATACTTATTACCCATAATTATGAGAAAGAAGAATTTGCATCATCTCAAAGTGGAGGATATAGCCTGAATTTTAAAAATCAACAAAGCCTCACTTAACACCCAAGTAAAAAATATCTCACTTCAATACATATCGTAGAAGTATAATAGCTCGCATCACTATAAGAATCGACAAGAGTCTAACCATTTGAGAAAAGTTTTAAAGTAAAAAAAGACAAAGTGGTAAAATGGTTTGAATAAGGTTAATTGACTTTTAGTCTTGAGAAAGATGTCAAAGTATGATTAAATGGATTAATTTTTTATTAAGAAAAGATTTTTGAAAACGCACGGACCTAAGTCCAAGATTATTATGAAAGCAGTTCAAGTTAGAAAACAAGAAGAGTTTTGAAAAGGAGGGAGGATATTTTTTTAAATTAAAGAAGATATGAGGAGATGAAGGGACTATCTTAAAGCATAAAGTAAAAGCCAAGGAAAAGAATGATTTAACCAACAAGAAGCTAACACTTGACATGAAAAAGTCAAGGTAGAATTCCCATCCTTTAGATTAAAACCAAGAAAGCAAAAATACTAAACCTCTGAGGATAACCAAAATTCAGATGAATTAAGTCTTCACAAAAATTGGGCAGAGTAACCATTGTATACAGAGGAATTCTCAATCACAGACAAAATATAAAATAGAAATAACCCGCACACAAAGAAAATCAACCCAATGCCTTGAAGTAAACCCCAAGAACTTTAGACAGAATAACAATAGAGCAACAAGGTCCCCAAGTATCAAGGATTCTAATCCTAAGTCTGAGAGATCCACAACTCCATAATGCTAAGGATAGTAACCAGATAGTTCAAGTAACCTTAAAGCTTTTAATGTTCAAGTTGATTATTAAGTGTCTTAAAAAAAAAAATAAAAGCTCAAATGAGCAAAGATAAAATGCTAAAATAAATGGTACATAAAAGTAAAGGCACAAAATAATGGAATAAAGTAAAGTTAATTGTTAGTGAATTAGAAGTTAGAAGTCAAGTACAAAAGGTTGGTTGATGACCATCTTGAAGCTTGCTTTTGAAAACTCATTAGAAGATTGATAAAATCAAAGCCTCTCAATAACAAGTTTTATTTTCTTTTTGTCAAGTATATCATTTATTTCAAGTACTCAAAGCAACCACATATGATCAACGATGTTCAAATGATTCACTTAGACCAAAATTCATGAAGTTCATTAGAGGATTGATAGAAGCAAAGCCTCTTAACAATAAATTTAAAAGTTATTGGATCCAAGGTTTCAAATTAAACATACTTGGGCTTGCAAATACAAGTTTGGGCCATAAATAATCATTTTTCGAACCGGGACAAATTTAGAGCTATATTAAGCAATCATAAATGGACTTATATAGAAGTCACACCTATTTTGAGGCCGGTCAATAGCAATTTATGTACCATACATATTAGAAAAATGATATGTAGATCATTTTCCAAGAAACATGTAGCACAAGTAAAAACAAGAAAGGGATAAAATGAAGAAGGAGGAGAATGATAATATAACCAATGTATCAGATAAAATTAGAGTTTTAAATATCATCAACATCATTCATCCATTTTGCTGGATTTGGTTTTTCAACCTATCAACACCTAAGATCCAATGAGATTGAGGAACTTGTCCCCAAAAAATACTCAAGTGTCTCCAAATCAGGACCAATCAAAAAATAATAAAATATATTTCATATAAAACAAAATTTAAATGACTTAAAAAGGAAATAATTGGTAAAATACGCAATATGTATTAAAACACCAAATAAAAATCCTAAAAAATATATCAGAAGTCAAACATAAGTCAACAAGTGTTGATACAATTTTTTAGAATTTTTTAAAGTCAGAAATTATTTTTAAAATATAAATAAATAAGAAAAGAAACCAAAATTTGTGAAAAATAGTAAAATCAAAAATAAAAATAAAATGAGGTCACAAATTTTTGTCAAGAGGTCATTGGATCCTTCCGTATTACTTTTCAGAATTTAAAAATCAAGAAACGTTTTTTTAAACAATTAAAACAAGTCAAATAAAGTGAAAAATCATAAAAAATACCAAAGCACAAAATAAAATTGTGAAAAAATAAAAATCATTAAGATAAAAATCAAAAGTAATTTTGATAATTTTTTCACAATTTTAGAAGTTGAAATGAATTTTTTTATGAATTTTTGAAATTTAAAACAATTAAAACAAAAATCAGAAAATAAAATATTAAACCAAAAAAATATGGATCATCTGATCATTGTCAAAACGTGTTAGTAATCAAATCCAAGGCATCTGGCGCATTGTGCATGTTATGGTCATTAGTGAATAACACACTAAATCATTAATTTAAAACAAATTTTTAAAAAAATGTGTGGCATCATGTCATTGGTTTAGAGATGGCATGTCATCATCTTCAACCTCCTACCACACGCGAATTGCAGGTCCTTCAAACTATAAAATTAGAAGCTCAGAGTGGTGCCATTTGCTTCGTCTCATCAAGACGATTACCATGGTACCCTCGCGAAAAATTTATATAACATATAGCTCACTCGACTTCGAAAAAACTAGAAGAAAAAGTGAAAATGAGTTTTGAAATTAAATGTTCAATTCTCCATGAAATCACAAACCAGAAGAAGCATGAGCTTCAGAGAAGAAGATACTATTGTAGCGGTAGAAATATTGAGACTAAGCCATTGGATTGGCTTGACTAGCAAAAATCAAATAAAAATTGCCACCGCGCTTTATTGTTTCCAAAGGAATGATAAAAGAGAGAATAACCCAAATAGAGGGGGAGAGAAACTAAGTTCGGGGGTTGGTTATGTAAATGAAAGGTATTAGAACCCTAAACATCTACGGTACTCCGTATGGACCTCTTTGAAAATTTGTGTATTTAGGCTATAAATGTTGTATACAAAAATAGATTGTGGGGATGAGAAAATAAGTATTTTTTTACAATTTTTGCACCCACCGCGGTTGTGAACCTTTAGTGTCTACGTACCACCTTCTGTGCAATAGGAGATCAGGGTACTCGTAGTTCACCTTTAAAATTTTTAAAAACAAAAGTGTGTTAGTTAATTTTAAGAGACAAGACATCATCATCTTATCCGAGTGGAAGAACATACTTACTTCCCACGACTATGAGAAAGGAGAATTTGCATCATCTCAAAGTGGAGGATATGGCTTGGATTTTAATAGTTCGCATCACTACAAGGATCAATAAGAGTCTAATCTTTTAAGAAAATTTTAAAGGAAAAAGCAAAAGTGGCAAAATGGATTGAATGAGATTGATTGAATTTTATTCTTCTCAAACAAATGTCAACATATTATTAAGTTGGTTAAAATTTGATTAAGAAAATATTTTTTGAAAATGCATGGACCTAAGTCCAAGTTTATTGTGAAAGCGATTCATGTTTGGAAAACAAGAACAGTTTTTGAAAAAGAGGGAGAAGATTTTTGAAATTAAAGAAGATGGGAGGAGATGAAGAGACTATCCTATAACATAAGGTAAAAGCTAGAGAAAAGAATCATCTAACCAACAAGATGCCAACACTTGACATAATGAGTCAATGTATAATTCTCATCCTTTGAATTGAAACCAAATAACCAAATATGATAAACCTCTTAGGAAAACCAAGCTTCAATTATATTAAGTCTTTACAAAAATTGGGCTGAATAACGGTTGTATATATATGAATTCTCAATCACAGACAAAGCATATAATCAGAATAACCCGCACACAAAGAAAACAAACAACCCAATGTCTCGGGGTAAACCCCA